AACAGAGTCCTCATGTGGTAAATTATATCTTATTACGTTTTTTCCTCTTTTCGTGAGTACAGCAGCAACAACATAATCAGACATCAGTGTGGAAAACATTCAGGCAGCAGCTTCTCATGTTCAGCGGTGCTGACATCACTGTCACCGGTTAAAATCACAGAAGTCATATCAGCTGATCACTAATGAATGTAACTCAGTCAGAGGATGACAGAACAGATGAAACTTGTCTGTGTGTCTGTCCTGAATCTAAGGTTGTTTATAGCACACAGTCATGTCCAGAGTCCAGCCCGGGGAAGGAGGGTGTGCGTCATATCCTTCACAACAATACACCGGTATAATTTTTAATATGATATTAAAAGTTTATATTGTGATACTCGCAGTATTTCACCTTGTTGACATATTGACGTCATACTGTTACCCACAGCAACAACAAGCATGGCTGAAAGCAAAATGACTCCCGACTCCTTGGTGGTTCCAGAAAGAGGAGCAGCTTCAGTAGTGTGGAATAAAGTGTGGCGTCCTGAATGTTTTCCTTCTCTTAGCGCTCAGAGGGAACTCATTCAGCGGCTCCTCTGGCAGCAGCACAGCGTCTCTCCCTCTCCTCTCTGAACCTACGTGAATAAACTCCATATATGTGACTGTGTCATAACAGCCTGTCACAGGTTACAGCCTAATGGTTAGAGATGATTTATATATATAGATCCCAGGGGACATTTGTTTAAATGTGTAATTAGTGGTAGATTTGATTTGGTTGAACTATTAATATTGTGACAGAATCTGAATCTGACTCTGAGTTACTGTTGTTGTTCACAAACTAAAGAAATGAGAGATCATTTTTCTTTAGTTTTTACTGAAGATTTGAAGCAAACTGTGAAACTAGATCACTGAGTTTGTTTCAAATCTATGTTCTTAAATTAATCATAAAGTATTGTTTTACTAATTTGTCAATTGTCAATAATATTGCTATCACAAAATACCCTGAAAAATCCTGATGTCATTTCAGGACCATATCATCCACCCCTACCCAGGGCCCAGTTGTGGCCCCCAGACTGAGTTTAAACGGCCCTCAGCTTGTCTTTCAGAATATCCTATATGATTAACACAATAATGGTTAATAAAGCAAGATCATTGAGAGTTTTTTTTCATTCACCTCAGGACGGCAGGAAAATCATACAACTTGTAGCAATGCACCAAGTAGGAAATACGCAGGCGGAACTGACATGTTTTCATAGCGAAGGATGGTAAACAAACAAACAATTACTTAACACCAGATATTTCCTGCTGTCGCTTTCTGGAGAGGTGTCAAATTAAAAAACTTTTCACTCACATATGAAACAGTTGCATCCGTTTCATAATGTGATTTTTCTAAAATAACCCGTATGATGCGAGCAGCAGCAGCCCCCTGGTATTTTCAGGTTACCATTCAATCGGGTTGGACACCCCTGAGGTATCAGAAGCATCGCTCTGTAACACCACAAGTAACTGTTTCTGTTGTTCCAACAACTTCAACGAAGAGAGACACCTCCTCTCTGACTGATCTTTTCATGTCAGTTTCCAGACGTCACATTGTCCAGTTAAACTTTCATTCACATCTGATCAAGTTTTTAAGATGATCAACTTTATATTTTGGAATCAGGACCTCCAGTATTTAGGAAGTAGCTCTTGAAAAATCAGGTGTGTCAGATCAGATGTATCATCGATTTCAATTTGTCAGAAATGTCCTGATACGTAATCAACATTCAGGTAAATATAAGGTCAGACTCATTATCTGCAGATAATGAATATTAAAGGACTCAGATCAGGGACGCAAATACTTGAATAAACATCCCTAATAGACGGGCTGAAACAGCCCAGACACACCAGACCGACTTCAGAGAACTAGCGGTGACAAAGGCCCCCTGCTGTGTTGCCCGACGTCGCCATGTCTCAGTCAAAGAGTTGCACATCCGTGTCATTGTAATCATTCAAAAAGGGAAACAGGAAGACAGAAGACGTGATGCTAGTTAGTCAGTTAGCACATGAACAACACAATCAGAGCATATTTACTGTGCCCCAGTGAACAATAACACAAACCATCAGGAGTTTCTGCTGAAGAGAGAAATAATCTGACCATATGAAACAAGTCTGTTTTGGTCTCCCTCCATCTGGACTTTAGCTCTTTGTTTACTTTCCTCACTTCCTGTTTCTCTTCTCGTGCGCTGAACTGAACTCATTTCATTCACTCCAACGGGTTGTGCTGTCACTGACTCAACATGCTCAAGGGGGGGCCAACGGTGCAGGACAAACCACACCGACTACTGTAACAGACGCTTGGTGTGTCAGGGCCTTCAGACACATCCATAGTAAGTCAGCTAAATAAAAAAACAACATTGTTATTCCTGTTTTTCGTCATCCACTCTTGTGTTTTAGTGTATTGACGGTAAGAAAAAACAATGATGGAATTCTGGTCGTATCTGTATGTCAATAAAGTTTAAAAACAACTTCCTGTCACCTCTAACTTCTCTGCGATCAATCATCAGCTGATCACAGTCACACAACACAACTTTCGGATCAGAACATACTGATCTGTGGCTTCATTTTAGGCAGAAATTAAACAATTAATCAATTAGTGGTCTGACAAAAAATTAATCTTCGACTACTTTACTAACCATTTAATCACTGAAGTCATTTTATCTTGCAAAACTGTCAAACATTCATTGGCTGCAGCCTCTCAGCTGTGAGGACATGTCTTCAGGTGATAAACTGATCATGTTTGGGTTTCAGACTGTTTGTCAGACTAAATGATATAAAGAGATAAAACTGTGACGGATGTCTTACACTGTCTTCTGAACACAAACTGACATCAGTGATGGGTTAGTGACAGTTTTACCCAAATGTTTACTGTGACATAAAATATATATTTTTTTGCTGTTGTTCTGAGGAAAGGTGATGATCTACTTTAAAGGCGCTGTATGTAAGAATGTGGCCAAAACGGTTACTGCACTCAAATTCAAAATACTGCAGCGAGTCGTGTCCGCCCCCCCCTCCCCTACAGATTCGAGGTTGCTGGACAGCAACACGCTGGAGACTGATTTGTTTGCCCACGGGCGGCTGCTGTGGCAGGGCCGCGTCGCCGCATCCTTGATCTTCGGTTTTCCAGCGGACCGTTTGAGCAAGTCCAGCTTCTCTGCTGCTAACGCTGCTGCTGGGATACAGCTGAGGAGGAGCCGGCTGCTAATGCTATGTACCGGGACACTGCTAACGCTGCTGCCGGGATACAGCTGAGGAGGAGCCGGCTGCTAATGCTATGTACCGGGACACTGCTAACGCTGCTGCCGGGATACAGCGGAGGAGACTGCTAATGCTATGTACCGGGACACTGCTAACGCTGCTTGCCGTGCTGCTGTAGCTCAGTCGTAACTGTAACTGATGCTGAGACTCTACTGACTGTGTGACTGGTAGACGGCGGTGGGTGGCGCAACAGGCCAAAACACAAATTCAAAACATAAACATGATTTGCAGACTGCAAAAAATTTTTTTAGATGCAAATATTCTGGCTGTACTATTGTTGTCGGTGAGATCAGTATGTTATATGAACATTATTCCTTAGTCTCTGTGACATATTAGNATAGGAGGATTTTACGACTATTTGCTTTAGATTTCTTACATATAGCTCCTTTAAATGTTGAAAAAATAAAACAACGAGGGTAAAATATAATTTAATCTTAATGCATAATATGTTTAAGATCAAAAGACTGTTAGTTATACTTTTCTGATTTTAATATCACTGGATTGTTTTGTCTCTAAGTGTCAAATCTGTTGTTATGTCTTTTATGTTTTGTGCGGACCCAAGGAAGAGTAGTTAATGTTATCCATCAGCGGATATGGATCCTATTAAAATCACGTCCCTGACGGAAAAAAAAAAAAGTGTTGTTGGTTCCACCGTCCTCATCTACGTGACGTTAATGTGAGAAGCATGAAAATATATTTTTTTTTAAACAAAGATGTTACAGTTAATTTGAGAATTTAAAAGACAAGGTCAGAGAAAAAGATTCATAAAATCCTGATCCCTGTGTCGGAGCATTTTTAAGACCTTTGAAAGATTGATTAAAGACATTTTAACACCAATTAAGGCTTTTTTTTAGATTACTGAATTCAATGTTTTCAAGACTTTTTAGAAGCTGCAGGGACCCTGATAAAATAAGAATCATAAATCTTAGAAAGTTTACTTCTGATGTCTGGTCATGCTCTCACCGTCTCTTCCCTTGGCTACAGCTGGTTCAGGTGAGGACAGAGACTTTTACAACCTGAAGACACACCTGTCGAAACATTCTCTACTGGACGAGCTCTCAGGCTGCATGTTTCTACACGCTGCCAGAAAACAAACCAGCTCCAACTTGGCATTCAGGATAATACCTGCTCCAACCACACGCACACAAAACACTGTACTTCTATATTTGTGAGGGCACTCATTTACATAGTGCATTCCCCAGGCCTTCACCTTGACCATCACAACCAGGGCTTTTTGTCCACCTGCCACTGTGGCTGATAGACTCCAAAATCCACCAGCCACTCAGAAGAAGACCACTGTTTTTTGGGGTGGTGACTGAAGAAAATCTGGCAGCCACTTGCATGTGTTACCAGCATTTGGCTGGTGGTTGGTGCTAACTTTCACACCTGATCACAACTAAATGTCTTACCCAAACACTGACCTAAAGCTGAACCTAAACACCAAGTCTGAACCCTAAACAGGCCTCTGAGGGTTTGTGTGAGGTGAGGACCAGCCAAAATGTCCTCACTCTGAAGGTATAAACTCAAACTGGTTCTCACACTCACACACACACTGAGCTGCAGGCTGCTGCAGGCCTCAGCAGCTTCCACACACCTGTTGCAACGCTGCTGCTGCTGCTGCTTCCCTCCAAACTGCACAGACACACACGCAGGGCTGCAACACGCGCGCGCGCGCGCAACTGCAGCATGTAAACACAACGTGCAGCAGCTCCATCAGCAGCATCTCTCACCGTTTATCAGCGGGTTTGAATCCATCTTGAGCGAAATGTGTCCTGTGTTGTGTCTGTGTCCCTGCAGGCTCAGATCTGCTCCATGCTGCTGTGTGCTTGTTGTTGTGTTGTGTCTCCGTCTGTCTGTCTGTCCGTCCGTCTATTGGGGGGGTGGGTGGAGGGTGGGGAGGATGTCGGAGCAGTTTACAGCTGTCAGAGCCGGGCTGAGGAGGCTGAGGAGGAGGCGACGTGCAGCAGCTTCTCCCTCGACCTGCTGGCGTTATGTAACCGCTCCGAGCCGCTGCCGCTGCCAGGCTCCAGAGCCTCCATGCTAACTACACACAGCACGGAGAAATTAAAAGTTCAGCTCAGCCCGAAAATCACCGTCCAATAACACACCGACATAAAACAGATTTATGTTTCAGACAGCACTGACAGGCGCCTTCACAGCCTTTAGCCGCATATAACTTGGTGCTAATTAATATGCTAATGCTAATTAATGTCCATTAACATAAAGTAGAAGTTAAGTATCTCTGTGGATAACGTTACAGTGGATGTGTTTCTCTCCGCTACACCCCTGCTGTCACAGCCTGGATGTGTTGACAACACTGGTGGGAGCTAATTAGCTAACTAGCTGGCTAACTAGCGATGCTAACACTGGAAGGCTAACACCTTTGTTTTGGCGGCAAATTAGCGATGTTTTAATGTTCTCAGGTGTTTCCGGAGGAGCCGATTAATCGACTGATTTTTGACAAAGTTTCTCCAAGTTCAGGCTTTTCTGGGGGCTGAAGCTGTTAGCCTAGCGTGCTAATCGCCTAGCCTAGCCTAGCCTAGCCTAGCCTGCTGCTGTGACAGCCCCCCACCGCCTCCCTCCTCTCGTCAGCCCCCAAACAGCGCTGCTCACTGCGGGCTGGAGTTCACCGTGAGCCGCCCAGAGGCCTCCGACACGGAGGAAAAGTAGTTTGTAGAATCCGCCCGGTTGTTTGTTCGTAGTTTGGCGGAGCGAGGTGTCCGTGTGTCGGGACTAAATACATCACTTCGGTGTGTTTTCCCAGTTAGTTCCTGTTTGGACGGACGCCTCCTCGCTACTTTACACCAGTCAGGCTACCCGCCATTCACACTGTCACACTTCCGGTGATGGATTTCAAAATAAAACGTATCTCCAGAGGGAAGTTCATTGTTGACCTTGGGAAAGAGGACAAAGTTTGCTCAGTTGAAGTGGTGGAGAGAAACTTTAGTGGAAACTAAACTACCATGGAGATTAAACTGCTGAATGAAAACACAATGATAAAGTTAGATAGAGTGTGTGAGATCTACTGAGGGACTGTTCTTTACTTATCAGAGGACGGGAGTGTGACCCTTGTTGGGTTGTTTACCCTCCCTGAGGTTACAAATATTTCTCCCTGAGCCTTTCTGATTATCATTATATTGCAGAGAATGCAGACATCTCTACGGCCGATATCTCCAACACTCTGTAACTCAAAACTATCTGATAAACAGCTCTACAGGTGGGAGGGAAAATATGTGTTTTTGATTTGGGTGAACAGTCCCTTTAATGTAGGGTTCACTGCACGGAGAAGTGCTGCAAAGTGCCTACATTTTCCATGGAGTCCTACCCATAGACGTATATATATGTCTATGGTCCTACCCACCTGCTTTTGGCGCCCATGTTCAGCTGTTCATACAAACAAACAAGCCACGAGCGACTCTGAGAATAAAACACACTGACAATGTAAACAATATAAAGTTTCTATTAAATATGATACAAACGATCTGTCAGTGATGGTAAATGATGGAATACGTATCCACATATTAGTTAGTTAGTTAGTAGATTTTTAAAAATAATCTTTCAATGTTTGAAAGTTCAAAGTTGAAGATGAAATCCTGGAGTTGAAAAAGTCTCAGTTTTTCACTCTTGTCGTGTAAACAGTTTATTTTTGGACAAATTCTAAACGAGACGTAGAACAAAGTGATTTGGATGAACTATCACTTTGTTCTAAGATCAGATTTGTGTTTTGTGTTTTTTCTGATGGAAGCATTTTCTTGACATGATGCGTCAAAGGACCGTTGGAAATTTGAAAATCCTGTGATAATTTCTGTTTTTACAGTTTCTGGCTGATAAATGGTGTCAATGGCTGTTTTAAAGGACAACATGCTGTCCAAACATGTTGTCTTTGCAATTCTGTGGTAAAATAAATACAAAATACAACTGTTTAAATGTGTCTGCCCTGCCCATAAGCAACAATTAAAAAAATAAGTCCCTCCCAAGTGCTTAAAAAAAATGACATGCCTCCTCTTTTTTAGCACCGTATAGTATATAGTGTTTTGTCTGTCTGTCCCATGTACGCGTAAATCCAACGATAACTTCTGTTTTCAGTTTCCGGCTGTGATGAAAGTTGTGATTTATAATAGCCAAACGCCCATAAGCCAAAAAAAAAAGTCCTCCCCAGTGGTTAAAAATGAACCCTACAACCATTTCATTGTATATTGTATATATTTCAGAATGTCTACTTTACTATTTTATTATTTATTTTATTTTAATGTCTACTTTAATATTTTATTTTATTTTATTTTAATGTCTACTTTAATATTTTATTTTATTTATTTCATTGTCTATTTTAGTATCTTATTTATATCTTCATCTTTATCTCTTGTTTCCATTCATGCTGTATTTCTATTTCTACTTTGCACGGAGCATTGGAACAAAAACAATTTCCCCCCGGGGATTAATAAAGTATTCTGAATCTGAATCTGAATCTGAATTTAACATGCCTCCCCCTTCTTGCACCACCCCTTGTAACGAACAGTCCCTTAGTTCATCTACTCAGCTACCTTTCCTAAGTGTTTATTTCCTACTTCCTCTCTTCTGTATCTCACAGGTTAATATTGTACTTTTTACATTTGTCTGACAGTTTTAGATTCTTTTCAGATCCAGCAGAGAAAGAAACTCCAGATGTTTGTGATGAACTGAAGGATGTTTCTGTGTGTGTTCAGAGACCACCTGAACAAACAGCTGCTTCATCACACCTGAGCAGGTGACCTGTCTGTGCCGAATGTAAAACAGTTTAGGTGAACTTTATTAAGATAAAAAGCTCCTACACACGTTTCTGCTGTTTTTTGTACAACGTAAGCAAATATCTGGTTTAAAAAAGTTTCTCGAGAAAGTTTGCGCTTTTATTTTTGAAGGTCAAACAACGTGTTCTTTCTGAGTTCCGGTATTTTTTCAACAGGTGAAACTTGACGCAACGCCCGCTCGTGTTTCTGCAGCTGCGGTTGTGGTGACGTCAGTACGTTGTGACGCCTCTTCTTCTTCTTCTGCTCATCATCGAACCGACAACCAGCTGCCGAGGAGCCGCCGAGCAACACGTGTTTCAGAATAAAAGCTGCCTGGTAGTAACTTGGTGTCAGCCAGGATCATGATCAGGATCATTGTGAATCTTGCTGACATCAGACCATGTGAGGTGAAAACATTTACACATAAATTAAAGGTACAGTTGAAGTGTTTTATATATTTTCAGAATACTCAGTGTTGTATAGAGTTTAGGTGGCGGGTCAGACTCCCCAGGTGCGTCATGACGTCAGTATTTCTAAATATACAAATATGAGGAAAGCAGTCGTCCGTACGTAAGTTTCATTTATTTATAATTTATATTTAATATATAACAAATATATTTTATATAAACGTAATAAAGAACTGATTTATTTGACACAGAGCAAATCTATTTTCCTCCTCCAACAGTTCGTAACATCACTGTGCTGCTTCTTAACTTCTTAAACTGACGGAGCTTCAAAGTTAGAAATTCTTTCTGCTCGTTAAACCACGACGTGACAAACTGGTGAAAACATGGAGGACGCTTCACACACAGAAGATCTATACAATCAGCACAGTTTCAAGATTAGAGTCACCAATTCAGTATCTGACCAAATGTCTCCCCTTCTGTTCCTGAGATATGACGTTAAAACATGATGATGTCACAGTCAAGCTGACCTTTGACCTTTTGACCTTCATTATTTTATCCTGTTAGACATTTGTGTCAAGTTTGGTCAGAATTAGTGAATGAATGTTTTGTGAGGTCGCAGTGACCTTTGACCACAAAATTCTAATCAGTGTATTCTTCAGTCCATGTGGACGTTTGAGGTGTTCTTGAGATATCACACTCACAAAAATGGGACGGGCAGATGTATGTACACACGCAGGGAGTCGAGGCTGTCACCGGCGCAGAGGAGGGGCATACAAATTAAAGTGATTGTGTTTCGTATATATTTTACCACAAATTAGCAATTTTCTTTTCTTTTAAACTTCTGCTGATTTATTTTTTCTTTAAACCTTTTTGGTGATATTTAAAGAAACCAGGTTTGGAAGGCAGGTTGTTTTTTTTGACATTTTTTGGCAATATTTTCATATATGTAACAATTTTTGTTTGTTTGCTTGTTTAGAAAAATAACTTTTTTGGTCGTTTTAATAATTTGGCAATTTTTGGAATTTTTTTTCTTATTTTACTGTAGATTGGACACAGGCCGACATGTTTTCTATCTAATGACTCGTTTATGGTGGAGGGAGGGTCAAAAGAACAGTCCCTGAGCTGATCTCACACATGTTGTCAAACTTTATGACTCCGTTGAGTTTGTTAAGCAGTTTGATCTCTGTGGTGTTTTAGGGTTTTAGTTTTTGTTCATCAGCGCCCTGAGAGGAGAGATGGCTGCTGCCGAGGAGCCTCTGAGCAGGGCACCACCCATCAGCTGCTGCAGGTGGAGTGATGATCACTTCCTGCTGTAAACTGTGTCAGCAGTGAAATCAGCTGCAGTCGTTCAGTCAGCGTCACGTTTTCCTCCATCTGAGCACCAAACAGGAGGCGTTTCTGTGTGTGTGTGTGTCTATTTCAAGAGTCATCTCTCGGCTTCTTCACGCCACTGCCTCTATTTAGCATCCAGTTTCCATGGCAACAGGCTCCGTCCGTGTTATTGACGGAGCAGCTCTGAGAGCAGCTGAGCTCAATGGTTTTATTACTACTGAACTCTGCAGCATCTTATTGTTGATAGTGTTTTGTTTTCTTTGTGTGTGTGTGTGTGTGTGTGTGTGTGTGTGTGTGTGTGAATCAGATTGATCTGTTCCTGTTTCATCTTGAATGTCACATTTTTGTTTAATCGAGATCAAGATGTGTAAAACTGGGGCGGAAAGAGAATATTTATGTTTGATATTAAAATGAAGAAGGGGGCAGGATTTGATTAGGGACTGGTCTTTATTTATCGGGGGGGGGGGCGCTGAGGTGTGACCCTCTCTGAGTGACTGGAGGAAACTCTGTGACCCTCCCTCCTCCATAAATGAGCTATTAGATTTTTAAATCTTTGATGTTTGAAAGTTAAAAGTTGAAGATGAAATCCTGGAGTTGGAAAAAGTCTCACTTTTCCACTCTTGTCGTGCAGACGGTTTATTTTTGGACAAATTTATAATGAGACATAGAATAAAGTGATTTTGATGAAATGTCACTTTTTAAGATCATATGTGTTTTTGGTGTTTTGGGTTTTTTCCTCCTGATGGAGCGTTTGTTGCACATGATGTGTCGAAGGACCGTCGGAAATGTGAGAATCCAATGATTATTTTTGTCAGTCCAGTGTTTGTTTCCTCCTGCTCTTTTTCCCTTACTTAAGTAAAGGATCTGAAGACGTCCTTCACCACTGCTCATGTCACATGTCCAAAAGTACTTGGACACAGAGCCGTGGTGCCAAATACAGTTGTGACTTATGGCTCCTTCACGTCTTTGGTGTCCAAGGTCGACGCGTTTGAACACAATTACCAACCAACAAGACATTTGCTTCACTGACTCAAATTATTAAGTATCATTTGATTGACAGTTTCTTTCCTGCAGCCATCAGCACACTGCTCTGCCATCCACTGAGCACTTTAAATACTTTTATATTTATGTATTTGTTTATTGCATGTTCGTCCTCACTGAACGTCATGTGTCGTGTTTTTTTGAGTGTCACAACTAACGTGGTCGTATTCCTCCACAGTGACAATAAAGACTTTGTACTTCTACTGAACTTTTATTATTTAACTTTCAGTTTTACAGACCTGCTGTTGCTCAGACGAGTGAACGTCTGCAGAGGTGAAACAAAATCAAAATCAGCTCTCGTACAAACAGAGTGTGTGAACGCAGAACACTCAGCAGCTGTTTATTCAAACTGAACCACCACATTTAAAACTCTGAACACACAAGACAACTATCTGTGGAGGTCTCTTCACCTCAAAGTGTCACATCTACAGTTTGATAATATCTGAGGAGTCCTCTGCAGTGGTCAGATTCCAAACCAGGAAACACTGAGCTGTCCACATATTCTTGGCAGTGAGGTGTGATTTGAAGAGTTTTTAAGGTCTGATGAAAATAATTTAAACGTACAAAATCTTCACTCTGCAGCACACTGAAACTTCAGTCACTTCCTGTGACATTATAATTATTATTTTAGATTATTTCTTTGGTCTTGTTGACCTCTACCTGACAGGACGGTGGCAGCGTGACGGGAAGGACAGAGGGGATGATGGCAGCAAAGGGTCGCAGGTCGGAATCGGACCCACAGCCGCTGCAGCGACACGGACGACTGAGGAAAACTTGAAACATGATGATTCTTTTGTCTCTGATTTCTGAGCGGGTTTATTTCGTCTGGACGAACATCAGAGACGTTGAGACGTCACACTGAACGAGATCAACATGTGTTTCACGTCTTTGTGTTCACGGTCACTGAGCGATGAAGGAGAGACTCTAATTCACCTCCTGCTCGCCTCTCTGGCGCCCTCCTGTGGAGACATCTGTCCTGCTGAATGTCCTTCTTTGTTACAGACCATAATATCCTATCCCGTCACCATGGTTACAGTATCCTGAGTGATGAGTTTGTATTAAAGTCGAGGTCTGTTCGTCCCATCTGAACAAAGCTTCAGTCTGTTGAACGTGAAGTCAGCAGGTCTGAACGTCCTCAGCTCGTCCAACACGTGGACACGTCTAAAAGACCTCTCTTCTGCTCTCTGGCGGATCGGTCAGTCCCTGCAGCTCCCTCAGACCCTGAGGAGGAGGAGGAGGAGGAGGATGAGATGGGAGGAGGAGGCAGAGGAGGAGGAGGAGGAGGAGATGGAGGAGGAATAAATAAATCAGTAAATTATATCAAAAACTATCAAAAAATATTCTTAAAAATATTTTTAAAAATCCAAAACTTGTCAGTAAATTATCTGAAATATATCAGTAAAATATTTTTTTAAAATCTGGAAAATATCTTAAAAACACTGGAAAAAAATATTATTAAAATATCCCAAAATAATAGCAAATTATCTTTTTTTTTAATATAAATTATCTGAAGCATACTTGGATTATTTCAGAAAAATATTTGTAAAAAATAAAAATAATTATCAGAAAAATATCTGAAATATAATATAAATATATATATTATTATTATCATAATATAATATTCCCAAAATATTAGTAAAAATATATTTATAATAAAAATTAGCAAAATATCCAAAATATTATAGAAAACGATTTTTAAAATGTTTACAAATCTGAAAAAAAAAATCTCCAAAATATCAGTAAATTATCTCAAAAATATTAATAAAATAAAAAACAGTGAAAAAACACCAGTAAAAAAAAAAAAAGATCAGTAGATTAATCAGTAATGTGAATGAAAATAAACTGATCATGAGTAACTTTACGGTGTGTCAATAGAGAACTGACCTCGAGCACCATGCGGATGTTGGCTTTAATCTTTGCAGAGTCTTTGGTGAGCTGCTCTGTGAAGCTGCAACAAAATGTTAGCACAGTTAGCATGTCGCACTCAAAACAACAGACACAGTTAGCATCAAGCTAACACACAACATTTTCCTTTTTCACTTGAGCTTAATCCGTAAAAATAATCTCACAAAGCTTTAGCGTACAGTCTGGCTGAGATCTCAAACACGTGAACTAAAGTCAGTGCTGGTTTTTTTTCTTAACTGCTGCAGGAATAAAACCACAGAAGAAGAGCAGTTGATGTGAACTGACGCTGTGAGCTGACTCGTCTTCTTGTCGATGAATCGCAGAGCTTCGTCGTGGGTCATCTCCACGAAGAAACCGTAACCGACCGCCACATAGATCCTGGACGAGTCCTCCCTGACAGAAGAAGAAGAAGAGGAAGTGGAAATGACGGGTTTGAAGAGGATTCTGGGTAATCCTCCAAGGTTCATCTGCATTGTCTAAAACACCAAGACAGCTCTGTTTTGTTTCTAATCTGAGGAAGTGTGGGAGGACAAGATGGAAAACCCCGACAGTGAGAATGTCATGTTCTAAAGCTGATATCAATCAATCAATCAATCAAATACATAAATAACTGGTGAGCAGCACTGAAACAGAAACACTTGATTAAACACAGTCGTATGAATACAACGTAGAAATGAGCAGAAAAGTTCAGACTGTCTTGTTAAATATGATCAAAGTGTAATGAACCTCTGACGTCTTCATATAAACATGAATAAAGTTTGATCGATCAGAGTTATTGATCAGTGTATCAGCAGCTCACACTTCAGCCTGGACGAAGAAGTTACAGCCGAGATCCACGTCTGTCTTCAGCTGCTGAGAGCCAGACTCCTGCAGGAACACACACACACACACACACACACACACACACACACACACACACACTAAGGGAAGTGACATCACTCAGCATGTCACTAACACGTGATCTTCATACTGAACGTGTTTCATGTTCCTCAGTGAGCTCGTTAGAGACGAGCCAGGCCTGCACTTATTTGATCACTGGCGATCTGCGCACAATGCATGCTGGTTAGATTTGTGTCCGACTTCATCCCGACTCGCTCTGACGTCATACAAAAGTGGACAACGGTAATCTCACGGGAGCGAGGTGGTTGCAGTTTTTAGAGCCAGGCTCCACGGAGCGCAAACACCTGGCTCTCATCTGATCTAACAGCTGGTTTTATTTGTCATCAGATCTGACAGGATGTGAGTGTTTCTGTGACTTCCTGTACGGACCAAAGGCTCCTGGAAACTGTCCAACCTCAACGCAGCTTTTTGTCACCGTCTGATCTCGCCCATATTCATCTTGAACAAGCATTTACGTCAAGAGATTTGGGAGAACGAGTCATCACTTGAATTAAAAAGACAATTTTTGTGTCACTGATTTTCTGATAAAGCATATTTTCGTCTCAACACAAACTACTTTGATAAACCCACAGAACAGGGAGGCACAATAACATCTGTACATCATCAGTATCAGCTGATCAGCTTTGAAATGAACTCTCAGAATCGAATAACATGTTTTTTCCTGTTTAGCACAATGACTGAATATCACAGACACTGAACAGTGTTTCATGTCTCCACCTGCTGGTGGGCCGTCACCATCACAGTCTGTGTGTGTAATATGATGTTAATTCATCTACAGAAGAGACTTGATGATGATCACTGACATCAGGTGGGAAAGAAGTGGATATATTGACATCAGTATCAGTTATCAGTCGAATAAGTATCGGCATTTCCACATAAAATCAAATATCGTGCAGCCCTGCTTCAGTGTGTTGGACAGATGTTAATTTTCTAATTTCTGATGATGTCAAAATTATGTGAAATTATTTCTTCATCTACCGAACAAAAACGCTGTTGACATTTATTTTTATGTTAAAAAGATGAACTTAATTTATTTCATCACACGATCTAAACGTCTTGATTTTAATTTCTTAATTCTTATTTTCTGAATACATATATCTGTGTGTGTGTGTGTGTGTGTGTGCGTGCGCACCTGCAGACTCTGTATAGTGTTCTTCAGCTGCAGATACTGAGAGATCTTCTCATACACAGAGTCTCTCTGCTCCAACACCCTCCTGACAAACACACAAACATCAACAGTTAGAATGAAAACAACAATAAACTTTATTAATATAATTCAGTTATATCCTGCTGTGTCACTTCCCTCTGGTTGTGTAAATAATGTTTAATAACTATTCTTACTGTAAATCTCTCCTCAGAACTTCGTTGATGAACGTTTCATACTGCAGAACCTTCTGATCCACGTTAGCATTAGCATTAGCATTAGCATCGGCAGGCGGAGACATCTTCTCTGTTTTTCTCCTTAAATCCAAACTGTGAAGAGGATAAGCTTCTCCGGTAACCGGCTGGGTGTCTGACTGATGTTAACGGCAACGTCTCAGAGTCGTTACCGGTCCACAAACTGTCCGGTTAGCATGCTGCTGAGGACTCACGTAACGTAAACACCGATCGTACCCCGGATGTGCAAAACAAGTACTTCCAGGTTTCAATATGGAGGCGGTGACACATTGCACACAGAACTAGAGTGAATAGAAGAAACAATTCTAAAGAAACAGTGAAGAAGCACCGACATGTTGAGCTAAATATGAGTAATACTACTTTGTAAAATATACTCTGCTCTCTCAGAAATAATCCCGCATGATCGAGCACTGACAGCCGGCTCAGCGTTTTACAGTCTGACAGGTGAGTTTCTTCTACCTGCTCTAGTTCTGCAGTGGGACTCGTCCCTGACGTCACTGTAAACAAATATGGCGGACCACTGGTCGCTCTGTAGTTAGCTGGTTTAACAACTGTAGTTAAAATACTGGGCATGAACAAATGTGTGTGTTTTTTAACAGACGGAACTCTGCGTCTCTTTAGTTCCTGTCGGACACGCGTGGTGGGACACCATCAGTTCAGAGCGGACGATTAGCTCTGCTATCTTAGCTGGTAGGTTACCAAGGCAACGTTAGCTAACAGTAGCTAGCTGTTAGCTCCCCTCAGAGGCTGTCGCTATAGAAATTAATGTTTACTGACAACAGGTTGTTTCTTTACGGTTGTCTCACACCCCGAATCAAAGTACACGGTTATAATATTTAAATCATTTAACATATGGTTGTGTAGCTTTCGTCGTTATTGAGCAAATAAGCGCAACATCGGTGAAATGATAGATTTATTAACGGAGTTCGTGTTTTGCTTCAGTCCCTCTGATTTTCAGCTTTTTCTAGTAAACCGGAAGCAACAAGAAAAACCCTGACTGGTGTTTTTTACCTCAGAAACAATCATTCTGCTAAAAGTTCCTCCTGATGGTCAGAACAAACCCTGAAGGACTGAACACAGCTTAAATTAGGAAGTATTTGATTTAACAAGACCACAGATCAGACACTCAGTGTTGACACAGTTCAGTCAGGACTGGATAAAAAGTCACACCTATAGTCCAGGTTCAACACTCAGACCTGTAGTCCAGGTTCAACACTCAGACCTGTAGTCCAGGTTCAACACTCAGACCTGTAGTCCAGGTTGATGCAGTGACCGTGAGAACATGGAGCAGTACAGTATTCTGGGTCGGATCGGAGAAGGAGCTCACGGCATCGTCTTCAAGGCCAAACACATCGAGGTAACTCAGCTGGTCAACAACAATAAATTAACAATCATTTTTGTTTATAGCAAATAATAATAATAAAAATGATCCATAACTGCTTTGATCATCTAATTAATCCAGACATTTTTCAAGTAAAATATTTTCTGGTTTCAGCTTAATTTTGTCAGATATATGACACTTTATAAATAAGAGAGACTGTGTAGTCCTCCTCCTGTGTACAGTGCAGCACAGGATGTAGTGGAGTGTCTCAGGTCTTATGTGTCAAACAAAAGAATCAGCATCAGGTACAAACATGAGGACTAATGTAGACTTAACAGACTGTTTAACCTTCATTACATTCCTGTCAGACAGGAGAGACGGTGGCTCTGAAGAAAGTGGCTCTGAGGCGTCTGGAGGACGGCATCCCCAACCAGGCTCTGAGGGAGATCAAGGCCCTGCAGGAGATCGAGGACAATCAACATGTGAGTCTCAGACAACATCTTCTTAGGGTGAGAGGTCAGAGGTCAGCCTCACTCTCCTCCTCCTCTTCTTCCTCAGGTGGTGAAGCTGAAGGATGTCTTCCCTCACGGGACGGGCTTCGTCCTGGTCTTTGACTTCATGCTCTCCGACCTCTCTGAGGTCATCAGGAACTCTCAGCGACCTTTGACCCCGGCTCAGGTCAAAGGTTACATGATGATGCTGCTAAAGGGCGTGGCCTTCCTGCATCACAACAACATCATGCACCGGGTGAGGTCATCACTTCATTTACTTATTCACACAGCAGCTTAATAATAAAGTTACAGAGTAAAAACAATCAGGAAGGTTAAAAACACGTATGAGATATAAAACATGATGACGTCATTACAGTGGAAAACACCACGAGCAGCCAACCTCCAGTTTAGCACTTCACCAACTTATTTTGGCATAAAATAAATTAATCTTGCAGCTCTTCCAAACTTTCCAAATGTTACTGGACCAAATGGATCAAATCCTGATCATGGAACGAGTCACTTCCTGGGAGTGAGGGCACTCACTAAGATTATCTACTGATTTAAAGACATTTCTTTCACAATGTGAAAAAGTCTTTCTTGCGCTGCATCATGCAGCAGACCCCAGAAATATCAGCACCACTGTTTGGCCACTACAAAAATTGGCTTCAAAGCCCGGCGCACTTCCTGAGGTTCTGTTTTAGGCGCTTGAGTTTCTATTTCTGTAGCCCTTCAGAATAAAACCTGTGATGTGCATGCGTGTGTGTGTGTGTGTGTGTGTGTGTGTGTGTGTGTGTGTGTAGGACCTGAAGCCAGCGAACCTCCTCATCAGCTCTTCAGGTCACCTTAAGATCGCAGACTTTGGTTTGGCCAGACTGTTCAGTGAGCAGGGAGAGAGACTGTACAGCCACCAGGTGGCCACCAGGTAACACACACACACACACACACACACACACACACACACACCTACCTTTGTGTGCAAGTATTATTTTTGGGTTTTAGTTTTGTAGGGTGCTGGTCCAGATATTCTGACAAAACTCTCACACTATAAATTCATCCCACACAAAGGATGTGCACTATGAGTGTAAAACAAGTCACTCATTCAACCTTAAAATCAGAAAAGACCATAAAACTTTATTTATCAAGAAAATAAGAAAATGCTTCGTTAATGTGAACAGACCGGACTGTGTGACAGAGAGACTGTCTTACAGGTTTTTACACAGAACCAAACGACGGCGCCATCATGTGGCTCCAGTGTGTGATGTCAGACAGCATGATGACATCACAGAATCAAAAGAGGCATGACATGTAACACAACAGCGTCAGCCTCTAGTGTGACATATAACAAACGTGTCAACGTATGTTATATGTCACATGTATAAACAGTAACAATGACATCACATGTCAATAACAATCATTTAGAGTCCCTGTTATATGGCAGCTGATCTCATCCTCTGCTCGGAGGGTAAGGAGCTCCTGGACCTCATTGTTTGAGTTAGGCGCTAACTGCTAACAGCTGCAGTTCTTCTTCTTTGAGTTAGCTGCTAACTGCTAGTCTCGCCACCAGACAGTCAGAGATCTCCGCCTTCTGATAGTCTGGGGACACTCCTTTCTAAAGTGTGTTTAACACACCGGAGAAAACGGCCGGCAACAAAGCAACGACTCTTGCATTTTTAAAAAAGACACGACATCACAGAAATGTGCGCTCCACCTTTTCTCGTCCGCAAAGAAACAAACACACAGAGAGCTTGAAAATGGATGCCGAGAGATTTAACTCCGTTTTATCAAACGTGTGCTCAGTTCACAAGTTTGTGGAAATGAAGGACTTACAGCGACTTGAGCCATTTTGTACCGCTGCACATGTTTCTAGTGGGACTATGTTTATGAGCACAAGAGTTCAGCGAGCCACCGAAGGACCGCCCTGCGTTGGTTCTGCAACGTAGGGAGTTTTTTTAAACTCTGAAATTGTATCCGCCCATCTAAACACAAAATCAGGGAGAAAGACATCAGTCTTTAGTTAAGCAAAGCGTCTAAAGACTGAATTGTGAGTCTAGCTAACTGCTAACAGCAGCTGTTCTTTTTCTTTGAGTAAGCTGCTAACTGCTAACTGCTGCTTTTTAAAACTCCTGCAGTGTGTCGTACACATAACACATAATCCAAACATCACAGCCATAGCGCCCATGATCCCGTCCTGTCAGCTGTCCTTTATACAGACATTTTGTCCCCCTGTTCCATGATTGTTCTTTACATACAAACAGCGAGGCAGCGTAGTGGCGTGATATTCCCGCCTTGAACAGGAAGTGTTAAAGGAGCCTGTGTCAGAGGGAGAGACGAGTCTGCAAAAAATGACATTATTATTCTCACATTGTAAACCTCATACAAATAATGAACTTCATTATGATCGTGTGTGTGTGTGTTTTCAGGTGGTACAGAGCTCCTGAGCTGCTGTACGGGGCCAGAAAGTACGATGAGGGAGTCGACCTGTGGTGAGAAAACTGCTCAGATTAATAGTGAAGATTAGTCATTATTAGTTTTGATCAATTTTGTTTTTATTCTATTCATCATGACGACGCTGTAACGTCTGCTGATGGAAAAACATTTTTAGCTACAAGGTTCATTCATTCATTTCTGTAATCGCTTATCCTTTTGAGGGTCATGTGGGGCGGAGCCTATCCCAGCTGACACTGGGTGAGAGGCAGGGTTCACCCTGGACAGGTCACCAGACTATCACAGGGCTGACACATAGAGACAGACAACCATTCACACTCACATTCACACCTACGGACAATTTAGAGTTATCAATTAACCTGCATGTCTTTGGACTGTGGGAGGAAGCTGGAGCACCTGGAGGAAACCCACGCTGACACAGGGAGAACATGTCGGAGCACCTGGAGGAAACCCACACTGACACAGGGAGAACATGTCAGAGCACCTGGAGGAAACCCACGCTGACACAGGGAGAACATGTCGGAGCACCGGGAGGAAACCCACGCTGACACAGGGAGAACATGTCAGAGCACCTGGAGGAAACAAGCTTCATTTACATGTCATTTTACAACAAAGCACAATGAAATATAGTCGGTCGCTCTCACGCCACACACACACACACACACACACACACACATACATACACATACACACACACACACAGGACATATGAAAAATAAAACATTATATACAGTTACTTAAATAACTCCAACACATTGACAGTGACCAAATAATGCAGTGCAGTGTTCAGAGCTGAGCAGCAGGGGGCGCTGATGACATGTTATCACTGAGTCTACGCTGATATGTTTCTCTTCCTGTAGCTCTTTAGAATAAAAGCCCTGATCTGTGTGTGTGTGTGTGTGTGTGTGTGTGTGTTTCAGGGCGGTGGGCTGTATTTTCGGGGAGCTGTTGAACTCGTCTCCTCTGTTTCCTGGAGAAAACGACATTGAACAGCTCTGCTGCGTCCTCAGAGTGCTGGGAACTCCAACACAGGATAGCTGGCCTGTACGACACACACACACACAGACACACACACACACATACACACACACACGTGTCATTCATAAATCCATACGTGTGTCTTAACTGACATTAATATTTCAACATAAAGCAGCAAAATCTGACTTTTCTAAGATTTTAACTGGAGTTAGACACATCTACCAATATCAGCTGATCACTGATCAATGAGATGATTATAAATAAGAAATTGTTCTTAATGACTTGCCTGGTTAAATAAAGGTAAAAAAAAAAAGATGAGATCATCATTTATTGATCTTCAGAGGAGGAACTCAAGTGTTTCAGCAGCACAAAGTCAGAATCAGAATCAGCCGGGCAGGTTTTCACATAGAAGAATTTCTCCTAATTACTTATGAACATAGTAAGAGAAAATAAAAGATTAAAGCAAATACAGTCAGAAACAAAATCAAATAATAAGAACAGATTAAAATATAAAATAACAAAAGATTAAAAGAACATAAAATAGTTTAGAAAATTATAAAAACAGAAACTATAGTGGAGCCATTAGTCAGAGCAGCAACACGCAGAGGTTAAAACAATATTGGTGTCTCCAAAATGAAAACAGAAGTCAGGCTCAGTTCTGTTCTCTGATTGGCTGCTGACATCGTCCACTGTTAAAAGGATGCAGAACCTCTGATGTTACAAACATTATGTATAGATGTAATATAAGTAGCTCTCTGATGACATCAGTGTGATGACATCATTGTGTTGATGCTCTCCGTCTCTCCAGGAGATCGTTGAGCTGCCAGATTACAATAAAATCACCTTTAAGGAGAATCCAGCCATCCCATTGGAGGAGATCGTCCCTGACACGTCTCCTCAGGCTGTCGACCTGCTCTACAAGTTCCTGGTTTATCCGTCCAAACAGCGCTGCTCCGCCAGGCAGGTAGGAAACAGGAAGTGGACTCTGAAGGTGGAGTTCCTCAGGGTTCGACCTGAGGTCCTCTCTTCTTTACTGTTTCAGTGCTTTGATCACCAGTAAAGTCCAGAGATATAAAATTTATATAAGCTGAACTGTTTCTGGACCCGACTGATCTCTGCTGCTGCTGCAGGCGGTCTGTTATTATGTTTAATTGATTGGTTGGTTGATTGAATTAATAATTGATTGATTGATTGAATTAATAATTGATTGATTGAGTGATTGACTGACTGATTGATTGGCGACCCTCTCCTCCTCTCTGCAGGCTCTCCTCCATCCGTACTTCTTCTCCTCTCCTCTTCCTGCTCACCACTCAGAGCTGCCCATTCCTCAGAGGGGGGGCCGACCCCCCCGTCAGCGGCTGCAGGCTCCGCCCACTGACTTCTCAGTGGACCTGCCCCTGCAGAACAGTGTGGTAGACCCTGCGCTGCTGCAGAGACACGCGTCCTGCCTCTGAACAGACGACTGACTGACCAATCAGCTTCCTATGTCAGTGTTGATGTTTACAAACGTTTTTATATTTATTTTTATTTATTTTTTTGTTTTGTCTTGTTGACGTGTTTTTCTTCAGTCTCACCTGCTGATGCTCTCCGACAGGAAGAGAACCTTCACGTTTCCTCTTTACTCAGATCTACATCAACATATTACTGCAGTGAAACAACACAATATGAATAATAAAATCACATGTTTATTAAATATGGCGTGTTCGAGGCTTCTGTTGACTTTACTGAAGAGATGATTATTATGGGATTTGAGTCTGAGGAGGTTCAGAAACACAGATCACATTAAACAACAATTAATCAGAAGTGCTGAACAAGTAAGTTTTCACGCTTTATCTCCGAGCCACAGTCACCTCCAGTCTGATGTTAGTGCAGAGCTGTCAGAGCGTTACATCTGTCCCATGGACGATACTTTTGACCAATACACACTTACAGTACGGCATCTAGAAGATCAGCTCTGCACTCAGGATTTCTGGTATGTCGGTTATGATACAGTGCTGGTTATGGTTGCTTAGCAACCCCAGACGCAACCTGCCACCGCACCCTTGAAAGTAGGTACAAGAGGAGCACCCAGTGCCCAACCTCATGTTTTCCAGGCGGTTGAAGCATGTGTTAAAAGGATGTGTGTGTGTGTGTGTGTGTGTGTGTGTGTGTGTGCGTGCAAGCTGCTCAAATAAATTGCCTTTCATGAGGGAATAATGAATAATAATTCAATCTAAATGAAAGCATCTACCTGGATTATTTTAATATTGCCTGTACCTTTAATACAGGCTGAGTTAGGCTGCTTAATGTTTCCAACTGTCCAGCATCCAGTACAGACAGCTGGAGGCTGGTTTTGTTTCATAATAATCATGATGTGGAAAAATAATTTGTTTGAATTTCTGTCATTAAAAAATATTTCGTAGCGTTCATAGCGTTCTAGCGCAGCTGCTGACTGCGTTCTAGCGCAGCTGCTGACTGCTGCTAGGCACCGTCACCTTCAGTGTGCTCAGGCAGGACCAAACATTCATGCAGATACGGGGGGGTGGTCAGTCAATATGCATGTTTCCTTTTGGGTCAATGGGGATATTAAACTTTTACTGCCAAACACAAGTAAAAACAAAGAGATAATTAATTTTACTATATTTGAAAAAAATATTCTTAATGATGATGGTTTAATAATTTTATATAAATTTTTACCAATTTGGAATTGTCCTAACTTTTCTCCCCTATACAGGCGCCACTGTGTGTATCCCACTGGTTAGCTGATCGCTGCCGCTCTGCACTGTGCTCATATGGCGGTTTCTGCTGATATCAGGATGGCGTCGTTGTGGCAGTGTAGTGTCCACTCTCCAGCTCCATGCTGGTTAACACCGTTAGCTCCGTCAGCACTGTTTAATGAGTTAGCACTGTTAGCTGTTAGCCACAGGCTCAGACGCCTCCATGTTGAGAGCTGTGTGCAGACACCTGGTGGATCTACAGACTTCATTAATACTTCACTGTTGAGGAGTTTAACCTTTAACAAAGCAAACAAATCATATAAAATGTTTTACGTGTCAGTGTTTAAGTACAAATAATTATAACTGTTAAATAAATGTAACACAGTAGAAAGTACCATACCTGCCCCTGAGATGTAAAGGAGAAGTATAAAGTGGCACAAAATGGAAATACTCAAGTACAGTACCTCATAATGAAGTATGAGTGTACTTAGTTACTTTCCTCCTCTCTCTGCTTCACACATCAGGTTTGTGAGCATCAATAAAATAAATAAAAACCTCTCTTAATCAAATACTGAACTGAAAAAAGAAAAAATTCAGTTCATGTAGTTCCCTCCCACACTTCCTGTTTCTCCTCCGTCAGCTCACAGCATCAGTCAGACGAGGAGTAAACTGTCTTCAGCTTCATTTATTATCAGCCTGTCTCTTTATTCTGAGCTCCTGCAGACCTGAGGAGACGAACACAGGTGGGTTGCTTTAATATTTATATAAATTAGACTTAAAGGACAGAGGAGATTTATGGATTCATCATTTAGTTTTATTTCATCTCTCTATTTTACCTTGTTTTATCTTTTTATTTGATCATTTTTGTTCTATCTTTTGTCTCTGTTTCATATTTTTATCTTTTTGTTTTATCTTTATCTCCTTTTATCCTTTTTATCTTTCTCATCTTTTTGTTTTTATCTGTTGATTATTTTTATTTAATCTTTTTCTCTTTGTTCTCTTTTTATTTTTATTTCTTTATTTTATTTTTATTTTTTGTTTTATGTTTTATCTTTTTGTTTTGTCTTCTTCTTCTTTTATCCTCTTTCTTTAACTAATAACTCTAATTAATACATCTTTCTGGTGATGCAGTAGAGTTCCTGTGATGTGATCAGAAGGAGTTCTCACTCTGTCTCACATTTTTCTTTCCGTTCTTTGTCTTTCCGTTTCCTCTCTGACACGCAGAGATGACGTCGGATTATTTGCAGCTATCTGATTGGTCCTCTGCTGTCATAACGATGCCATACAAAACATTGATGTTCGACACAAAGGTCAGAAACACTTTACATTTTCACATCCTGAGCCTCTGTCACAGGCCGACCCATTTTCACTCATGTTGTAGTTATTACAAATGAACCCAATAATCACTTCATAGAGACCTGATTTTCTTAAAGACAGAACAGTCAAGACCTGCGCTGTAAGAAAAGTCTTACTTGATTTAATGATTTATAGTTTTACAACTCTTTGAATTTATTAATCAGTTCATTCTGTCTGTTTTCATGTGAAGCACTGAGAGCTTATAATGTCCATATTGTAAATCACTTTGTGTGGCATTTCTTACATGAAAGGTGCTGTATAAATAAAGTTTATTATTATTATTATTATTATCATGTTTTGTTTGTTTTGGGTTTTTTTTTCAGTTTTAGTCTTTTCACATGTAGTTCATTTTGTGCCTTTAAATAAAGACACTTGTCTAACGTAATGTCCAGGATGAAACACTGCTCTTGTTCTGATGTGTGACGATAGTTTGGAGACTTTAGAGCTTCTAACTCGAGAATAACGAGCACTTTGTTTTATCGGTGTACAGGATGAACTTCAGAAAGAGCAGGAGTCAATGAGGGCCTGAGTCTGAGTACAAGCAGAGCAATAAATAACTGTGTCATCGACGTTCAGATGAACACATGAATCATGCACATTAAGGCAAAGGCTGTTTAAGAAAAACCAAAACAACAGAGGCCCTGATACTGAACCCTGAGGCGCTCCAAAGGCAGCCATAACTGTTAAAACTCTAACACACCTCAGAGTCGATTATTCTGCTCTCCTTCTTCTTCTTCTGTTTTTAATGAATACAATTAACGTTCTCATCCTCACAGGTTGGCTCCGCCCCTTCACACACCTACCTCCAATCACCAAACACATCCCATGAGCCAGAGCTTTACCACGTCATCAATTCCTCCCTCTGGTTGGACGACTCCAGCTGTCAATCACTCAGTTCTGCTTATGTCCCGCCTCTTCCTTCCTCCTCCTTATATGGTAATCCATCTGTAACCCCGCCCCCCACCTGCCTCCTCTCAACACCTGGATGGAACGGTTACTACAGCAACCTTTACCCCTCCCCCTCCTCCTCCTCTAGTGATTGGCCGTTACCTGGCAGTCTGTCATGGAGGCAGTGCAGTGCCCCAGGTGAGACATCTACCTGTGTGTGTGTGTGTGTGTGTGTGTGTGTGTGTGTGTGTGTGTCCATCCATCTGTCTGGCTGTGTTGCAGGATGACTGATGTTTGTGTGTGTTTGTTTAGAGCAGCGTGAGTGTGTGAGCTGTGGAACAAGAAGCGCTGCCCTGTGGAGGAGAGACGCTGCAGGTCATCACCTGTGTGACACCTGCTGCCTCCAACAGGAAACCAGCAACAGACCGCTGCTGCGACCCAAGAGAAGAGCTGTGAGAGACACGCGCGCACACACACACACACACACACACACACACACACACACACGCACACACACACACACACAGTCTTCCAGTCTTTGTGCTAAGCTAGGCTAACCACATCCTGTCACATCTCTGAGATTCTCTGTATAAAAATATAATAAATATATATATCCTGTTTTCAGGTTGTGACTCAGAGGAAAGGAACTCAGTGTGTCAACTGTGCAACTGGAACGACGACGCTGTGGAGACGAAACTCTGCAGGAGAACCCGTCTGCAACGCCTGTGGCCTCTACTACAAACTACACCAGGTACTACAACTGTACCACAAACTACACCAGGTACTACAAACTACACCACAACTGTACTACAAACTACACCAGGTACTACAACTGTACTACAAACTACACCACAACTGTACTACAAACTACAGCAGGTACTACAACTGTACTACAAAGTACAACAGATACTACCACAGTACTTGAGATGTGTACTCTGTGTGTTTCAGGTCAACCGGCCGCTGGCGATGAAGAAAGATGGAATCCAAACCAGAAACCGTAAAGTGACCAATAAGAACAAGAGGAGCAGGAAATCTGACCAATCAGAGATGAAGCTGTCCCGACTGACCCCGCCCACTGAGGAGGCCATGGCTGTATTTGACACCACTTACTGTACGACCAGCACGTACTGATGTGGCCAACACATAGGCTGGTACGTGATGTGCGCTACGCAAACAAAACTAAATCTGCAGTACAACAGAAACACCTGGATGTTGTAATGATTTAGAAGAGATCTCCAGTCTGCCTCACCTACTGGGTCCCGGGAACTGCCCACTGGTTCGACATCCCATTGTTCCGACCATATTAAACTCATTGTTCCGAAGTCCCGTTGTCCCGAAATCATCATGATGCCCTGTGGTTAAGGTCTGGTTAGGTTTAGGCACAAAAACCACTTGGTTAGAGTCAGGAAAAGATCATGGTGTGGGTTAAAATGAAAAAGAAAGTGACAAACATATAAGCCGTGAGCCTGCTCTGCCTCAAGCCGGTCGCGGCGCACCATACGCCCGCCGCGAGCCATTCAGCACCGTGGACAGTCGGACTAATGGGATGTTGAACCAATGGGCTGTCAAACCAATGACATGGACCCCTGGGTCCCACAATGCACTGGGAGGGTCATTGTTGAAATGTTGGACAGCAACATCACTGCGTCAGAGGAGGAGGAATATAAATGTTCTAACATTGTCATGTAATGTGTTAGACGACCAGGCTACTTTCATCCTTTTACACATAAAGCCACTGTGTTTAAGTTAGCCT